CAAACTTTGTCTCAGATGGCGAGGGACATGAGAGAGTTAGATGGTCTGCAGATGAGGAGATCATCCACCCAGGTAGTTGCTTATCCTTCAGAGCAACGGGGTAGGACCCAGAATCGCAGAGTCACCTCAACCACCAGAAGAAGAGTATCTACACGCATTCAGTAATGCCAACAGAAGTGATAAAAAGTAGGTTGAAATAATATAATTTGATCAGTGTTTACACTAGCAATCACATCAAAATGATATATCTATAATAATCTTTTCTTTATATTGTTAGGTCTTCAGTTGAGAGTCATATGATGGCATCAAGTTCAGAAGATTGTCTGTCTGCTGATGAGTGTGAATCCCTCCTTTACTATGAAAATCACAAACCCGAGACAGACATCAATTTAGAAAACTCATTAGGTCTGACGTTTATTCGAAGAATTTGGTATATTAATTTCTCCCATCCACGGTAAAAGACAGGTATCATTTGTTTTTATGTAACTTGGTGACCAGCTTTTATTGACTTTGCTCTCATTTTATGAATGAATACACTAAATTGAGGGTTGAAATTGGAACTTTTATAGAGCTAATTTGTGGCATTCCACTTCCATAGTGGGTGTTTTTGCTGACATATCTTGATGCTTGACCCAAAACCAGAAATTTAAAAACTATAAATACTATGGTAGACCCCAAACACTTGGTAATTGGCCATAGCTTTCCACTGAAGTCATGCTTTTCCTCAAGATCAGAGAGAAACCAACGTGAGGTCCTTGTTGTCTGAAGCAGACACTGAGCCCTTATTATACAAACTCAGAAACTCTCCATGAAGTGGAGGAACATGCAAAAGAGACAGTGGGGTGAAGCATGCCACCCAGTGAACAGAGAATCTTTTCAGCCATGCTTCTCAGTGTTTTTCATTAGTGTACCATATTGCCAACTGTGATTCAGACAGACGTTCTTCCACACTTACTTAAAATGTGGAAGACTGAGGCTGTCGTCATGACAAGCAAGGACCTTACTCTAGACTGGCGCTTCAAAATAACGATAATTGTTTTTGGAAGCATGACATGATTTCCTTCCCCCCCTCTGCACATTCCACATTAGAACATCACCAAACAAAGTGTTACTTATAATAATCTATTCCTCAATACTTTCATTCTCAGCAAGAAGCTCTTTCAGGGTCTAAATGAACTTTGTTTTTGTTCTAGGGCAAAGTGTTTATGAGCTGCCTTTATATCTTGAAGTGCAATAAATATCATTAAACTTGAGAATGAATAAAATTCAGCATGTTTCAAACTATAACAGTTCATGAAAAGTGCTGCTGGTGAATTAAATAAGTTTTTCATGTTGCATGTTGTGTGGCTCCTTGCACAAGAATCTTGTTGTTGATTTAGTTGTGTGATTTTCAGCCAATAACTGAAGTTGTGTTGTGCAACTCTTTGACTCTCTGAGTCACTGTTTTTTTTTTTTTTTCATTCTTTGTAGCATGAATCTGCTGACTTTACAATAATCTTTTTGACTTCAGTTTGCAATCTTGTTAGTAGGACAAAAAAACTCCATTGTCATTTCTTAATTAACAAAACATGATTTCTTAAGCATGAGAATTCAGAAGAAACACAACTTGTGTTTACAAGTCAGGTTTTTATTAAGCTGTGTAAAAGTATGAGTAGCAATACAAATAAATGTAGACTATAACGCCATATGGATATGGAAATAGACACATGAATTGAGTTTTTGGCTACTTTAACTGAACTAAGTAATAGGCATGGAGTTTACTCAGTGATTAAATCTATTGTTTATCTGCAGTATGGGGTTTTGCGGACCCATGGGAGAAACCCTTCGAGCTGAACTAATCCCAAAATGAATAAGGTGCACTATGGACCTTGGAGAAACCAGAAGAGGCTGACAAGTAAATATAAGCCTGCTGCTAATTAGAAAATAAATTACATATTCTCTTGAGAACTGTAAAAACAGTTTGACTTTCACAAACAACCAAATTGAACTTAAGCAATCAGCAATAAATTGGGCACAAGAGTATTATGGACACATATTTCCTTTGAAATTGCTACCGAGCTCTCTGCACATTTAACATTTGAAGATGTCTTTTTTTTTTCAGTTCATTTGTGCTGTTATATTTTTAGTTCTGATGTGCAACAGATTTATCATTTAATATGCTGTAAATGGTATCATTTCAAACTTATAAATCTTTCTATGTGGAGCACATAACAGCACTCCAAACATAGATCTATAGCTTGGCAGCCTGTGCAAACTTCAGAATTATCATTGACCTCTCTAATCACAGGCCTGTGGGCTGTGTGTGAACGAACAGTTCAGATGTCCAGTTGGAAACAAACATGTCCCAGCAGCAGATACAGCTTCCACCCCGTAAGAAAGATGATGATTGAATCCAGGTGTAGGAAGAGATAAGTCCTATAAAATGCAATAGTTTGTGAGGTCAGCTGAAGGGGCCAAACAGATGTAGAGCAACTAAAGGAAATGTTAGACCAAAGACATCAGAAAAAAGAGAAGCAAGATTATCTAGTGATGGGTTTAATCATTTCAGGGTACGGTTTGAAAAAGAAAAAAGAGAAGGGAAAATATTAGTGGTCTTTGGCCTCATAGCCCATCACTTACAGAATCTTGAGCTTTGAAAGTGGTTGCACATGGAAGAATGCAGATTTTCTTCAGGGAATGCTTTGACAGGAGAATTGGCTTATTCATGAGAAGAAGTTATCAGGAGAGCTTGAAGGACAAGGTAACAATAATAGCCTGAGTAAACCATTATGTAAGGCTTTGCATGGAAAAATAAGCTGTGCTCTCCAAACAGCCACTTTGTCTTTAGGGAACTTCAAAGGAGATTAAAGAACCTCTGCAATGTTTGGTTTAATCGCTCAAGAAAAAGTTTCCAGATACTTTAAAATCAAATAAAGACAGTTTGAGCCTGAAACCAACAGATAAAAGAAGATGAAAATATTCCTTTTTTAATTAAAAGAAACTGTTTATCTTGACTCGTTGGCAGTAGTAGTGGCAAACCTTTTACTTTATTTAGTGTCAGAATCATGAATATGATTTATGTATTTGTGTTTTAAACTTCTAAATAAATTGTTTGACATTTGGAGTTAGCTGGGTACTGGCTGTATTTTTTTAATGAACCCACTGATGTAAGGGTATCATCACTATTCTCATCTCCAAACTCTGGCAAGGAGGAGAATGAGCGTTTTTCCCAAAACGGGGAACTAATGTCTAAAGCATACTATTGGTATAGTTACAGCTTTGCAGAATTCTTGAATGGTAGAAAATTGGATATTTTCAAGTGTATTTCAATCCATCTGGCAAAATTTGAGGTTTTTTGTGGCAACTGATATTCGAAAAAAAAAAAAAAGAATCTAAGGAGTGGATTTCTATTCAAAATACTTGACCTGAGTTTGCCTCTGTTCTGCAGAAAAGCACAAGTCTCTGAATCCACCAGAAACCATCCACAATTTATCAGAAACTTAAGCGTAAACAGACATATCCATTTTCTCTTCTGTATAGTCCAGCAGGGTCTCAGGGAGATCATAATTTATTCACAAGACGGTCAGCCTTACACCTTTCCACCGCTTTCTGGAGGACATGGAGAGAGTTGCATACTTGCCACTGCACCCCAGGAAGAAATCCTGAGTAGTAAAAGAATTACATAAATCAGCTCTTGATAATAGTCTGTAATGCTAACTATTGCATGGAGATGCTGAATGCTTTGTTTCTCTCTGAATTAGGTCTTTATGTGTAAATTGTGTATTGTATTAAATTTGGTATAAATGTACGAACGAACAAGTGTAAATAAATGATTTTGTGTAAACATTTTGTTTGATGTTGTCCTCTGAACTGTGTATAAGTTTAACAAATGAACAGTCTAAAAATTGGAAAAAGTTTATTTAACATGCATATATATTTTTAATAAATAAAATGCATAGATCTAGTTTTACTTTTTCCATCTTACAACAATAAACAAAGTTTACAACAAACATGATACTGATGATACTAACTTACAACAGAGGGGTGAATTTAAATGCATTGGTGTATGCAGTCCCAGAAACATACACTAGAAATACAAAAGAATATAAAATACATTTTAGGAAACATAACAACATTCTGATGAGAATCCCAATTTTCCCAATGTGCCTCAAGCGTCTCAAAACATTCCTGCGGAATCTCAAACCGTTACTTTGACTTTTCTACTGACACAAAATAGCCGTATCTCCACTTTGTTTGCACATTACCCTTCAGGTGATGAAATGTAAGACAACACAGCGAGACGTCTGGTGCACATAACATTTTTAACCAGTGGAATTATTATTGTAATAAAGTTGCACAACAGGGAGCACAGTAGGGAGGAAAACTGGAGTGTTGAGCCACACTGTCATTGACACCTTCGTGACGGGGTTCTGTGCGTCTGCCAGAAAACGAAGCTGACAGAAAATATAGTGAGTGACTGCTCTCACCACGAAGAAAAAAAAAACAACACACTGGCATCACTGCTCACACTCACACACGCACAGCTAGGAAAACACATTTTTCTTAAGTCAGTGGTGCATTTCAGGTCGTGAACCTTCCTCCGGCGCCTTACTAACCGTTCCTCGTAAATCCCACTGCGTCAGTAACAGACAAACCTGTCTGTGCAGAAGACAGGAATGAAGAGAAATGCTGATGGAAACGTGTTAGCTGTGGAATTGCCACCAACTGTAACCACAGTGTCCTTGATGTGTTTTCTATTTGCTTAAACTCTAATTGGGTTAAAAAAAAGTTTTGCAAATAAATCCTGGAAGAGAGTTTCTTCCTATGTGACATCGCTTCAAGGGCACAACTAAACAAGTCTGCCTCTCAAGTCTGGAATAATAGGAAATATAGTAAACCATGAAATAAAATGACACTTAGATGCAAAATGTGGGCTTTACTAAAGGAGACCTGTACTGGTTATTCGAAAACGCTAACATGCAAAATATGATGATTCTTTTCAAGAAATCAAGACGATGGTGTTCAGTTTTTACTCATTTTTACTCTTTATTTTATCAATTTTAATTGAATTAAAAACTCATAGTGCTACATTTTGGATACTCCTATTGCCTCTGTGATTCGAAAACCAAACTGTCAGTCTGCTGACTTAGCATCTTGGCGCAATAACCGTTTTTTCAAGACTTGCAGTACAGCCAGTGGATATCCAGGTCAAGCCTTTCTTTTCTGTTAACAAAGCAAATATAAAATTAAACTATCATCAGACAAGATTGCAGTTTGGCGAATGCGTTCCTGTTTTTGCTCCCCACATGGATTTCTTTATTTGGGTGTAACCGAAGCCTGCTCAAATGCGATTGGTCAACAGAACTCGGATTACAAGTGGATTGTAAATGGAAAAAAATCTGTTCGGAGTTTTGGTAATTTATATTTGAATTATAAACAGCATTTGGAAGGATTTTCAGTTTCTTCAAACAGATTTGTTTTTGCTTGCTAGTGCATATCAGTGCAACAAGGCAGAGAGGCTGAGAGCTTGAGAACTGAGATGAAAAATGGTGAGATCCACTCCAATTACAGGGTTTTGATCAACAATGAAATGGAAAGTGCAAATGGCTCAAATCTGAAGGCAAAAAACTAAAGTGCACATCAAATTTACTCTGCAATATTTCCACTAAAAATCACGATATTTTCTTTTTAAGGAAGAAAAAAAACATGAAACTGCATAAATCCACTACCTTTATCTTGCATCTATTGTGTTATCAAAAATCAACAATAACCTGCTGATTCTGCAGGTTAAGTGCCTGCGCATGGTTCTCCATCTCGAATGCCAGCAGCAAGAAAAACGCAAGAAACTCTCCTGGATTTGGTCCTGAGAATACAGCAATCCAAGAGAAACAAAACTGAGAAAATGAGAGATACGGCTTAGAAATGTTTTTGGACGGCTTGGGTTTGTGGAATAAGTCTCAAAACAAACTACATTAGGTTCATTACACAAGTCTAACAAATGGACAGGAGGACAAAGCACTTGCTCTGAGGTAGATCAGCTTTTCCGATCTGGAGGAAAAGGCTGTAAGGACAGATGACTTCTGTGCTTCACATAAACATTTCCATCCTCCAGCTTGACTTCATACACTTGTTGCTGCAAAAAAAGTAAACAAAGAAAAAGAAACAGAAGTTAGAACAAAACACAACTCCCTAAGCTACTTTAGGAGTAACCTTCCAAGTCAAAAAAAACCCTGCCTGTCACAACACACAGTTTGATGTTGTTTAGTCTAACATTTGACATGAGTGACATAAAGTGATGTATATTTAAATCATATGTGGAAAACGATGAATGTAAAAGAGGATAAAATGTCAAGCTTGATTTTTTTCATTGGAACAAAACAAAACAGAAGATCTCAAGCTGAACATCACCTTAACTCTATCTGACGAGCTTTGATTTTTATGTCCTGTCTATCAAAAACATGCCATCTGTCTAAGATTAAAGGATAATTGATGTGAATGCATCAAGTCTTAGTATCAGCTTTTAGTAAATGTAAAGAACCTGATATACATTCAGGTGCCTAAATTTACTGCTCCTACATGCAAGTTAAATAAAGTGATTAATCAACACTCCTTATAAAAAGCGTTTTTGGTGTAAAACTAAAGCAGCATTATCAGGGCACACTTTATTACTGACCTGTAGTGATGTCCCTGACTTCCCAGTCCTGAGATCAAAGTTATAATCATGCCAGGGACAGAAGACCTGCAGGACTCCGTCAGCCTCCTCAATGTCCCCCTCACACAGAGGACCGCCTGGATTTCCGCACGGGAAACTGTTAATAACCGTTTATTCTCATAACAATCCCTGCTGCCATCTTTATTCTAGAAAAATGCGATACTTTCATAACACTAAAACTTAAGACAGCAGGGGGCATGATGCTATTTCCCCTCTCAGCCTTCTCTTATTTTAACAGTTAAATCACCCACAGAGACATTTTCAATAGGCTGCATATAAAAACGCGACGTGACGCGTTTGCAATGTTATACATATAACTGCGCTCTAGTCTCGCGTTTTAAAGGCCCTGCTAAAGCTAAATCTAAGCGGGTATAAATGTGTTTTTGTTGTTGTTGTTGTTGTTGTTTTTACCGGAGTGTGAACAGCGAGCATCCATTGCGAAAAACTCCCCCTTCACATAGAAGAGGCAGACATCGGAATCATAGCCGAGAGAGGAGTGCATTAAACGGCAGCGCTTCTTGGAAAGCTCCGAGGCAGGGCCTATGAGTCTCCATGAAACGCCCCCCGTGTTTCCCTCTTCATCTCCGGAGCCAGAAGCCATAAAGAACGGCGAAATGACCTGTTTTTCTATTTTGCACTACTACAGGCCTCCCTTTTTCCGCCGGTGCAAATGGATTTGACAGATCGCTCTGTGCAAATATTCCATATTAACCACCAGACCGACTGGTACAACGCTCATCCGATCGCACTGACCTGCTACCATCCCTGCTGCAGCCTGCCAGCAAACCGCGGGACGCCGTCAAAAAAAGGAGACAGCACAGCGCACAAACACAGAGCTACATATGAATATGACTGTAGCCTAAATGATGAATGAGCAGAAAAGTTAGCCTAGGCTACTCGAAATCTGCTAAAGCTGTGCAGGCTATCCGTTAGAACTGCAGATGCTCTAAAAACAACAACAGCAGCAGCAGCAGCAGCAGCAGCTATTGGAGTTTAAAATGCAGATGCAGAAATCCATCACAAATGCATCTGTTGCATTATGAATGGGCGGTGATCAGAACCTTAATGTTCTTTGATTACAGTCTGTAACATCAGGTCGCTCTTTTTTTAGTCTTTTATATTCAAACAATGCACACACAAAGAAAAAAAAAATCCCATTATGGAAGCTTTCTTGGTGGCCCATTGAGTTTATTGGAAAACTTAAATTTAGCCTACCAAGTATTGGACATCTTCCAAAGGAGTGTGCTAAATGTGGAACATTAGTTTTTATGTACTGTGTAAATAGTTCGAAATAATTTCTGTTATTTGGTACAAAGCAGGTTATTGTTCCTTCACTGCACATTCCATACTGTGCTCCAGACAGGTATTTCTACTGATTATTTTCAGGTTAACTTTTTCCACGGTGCAATTTTCTTAACTGTTATGTCAGTTCTGTGATCTTGCAGCAGCAAACAAAGAACATATACAATTTAACCAAATAAAGACATTAAAACACATATAGAACAACTTTGGTCTGTCAGTTTAACCACACTGACAACCATCGTGTGAGTCCACATCAGCCATCTGTCTTTGATCAAAGTTAAAGGGCTCATGATTAACACTATGTACAAAGCTGACCTTTAGAGTAGTACCAAATTTGAGGTTTCTGTGATCTACAAATTTGTTCAAATGATAATGTGCAAAAAGCAAAAACGCACACATTAAATGATAACCTGCATTTTTTTAAACTATTATTCAAATTGTTTTAAATCACTTTATTGAGCCAGTCATTATGCAGGTGGTAGTTTTGCCTTTAAGTAATGTGCCGTAGTGTCTAGACTGGAGTGATGCAAAACAGAGGCCACTTGTTCTGAATCGTGATTTTGCGAAACTGACTCATGTAAGTGCGCAACACGAGTGAAGAGCAGAATAGCAATATTGTGAAAATGTGTCAGGGACAGGAAGAACTAATGGAACTGCATCTTGTCAAGAGTTGGTGCTCTGCGAATGTAGATGCAAAGCAAGGGAGAGCCAATGCAAAGAAATTTGAGCTAAAATGCGTATGGAATGTGCCTGAAGTCACGATTCACCTCATTCTCCTTGCAGTTTAATATTTAAAAATATTACCAGCTGCCATTTATGAACAACTGTCAGTGTTTCTTCAGCCGAGTCATATCACCAGTTAGATTTTGTGTGCAGCCGTACTGAAAGATAAAGTTTGAGATTCCGTGTCAAGCAAACTTTCTGAATGCTTGCTCCTAAGAAATTGCTACGTTGTCCTCTAGATTACTGTAAAATCTGTACCTTTGATATATGCCTGGACCAACTGTGTATATGCAGTGCAAATAAAAAAATATCTCAGACATATTTACGCTGAATATTAGAAAGAGCAGTTGCCACCAGCAACTGCTGCTGGTATTACAACACACCTGTCACTCAAAGTAGAAACATTTCAAGCCTTAATAAAGTTTAAATTATTAAATTATGTATATATAAACAAAAATGAAACATCTGTATAATTATTATAAAGCGGGAAATGAGCCATTGAGAACAAATTCTTTTTGTGTGTGTTTGTGAAAGCTGTAAATTTCATACTTTAACATAGGATCCCGTAGGCTTTTACCATAGGCATTACAAAAGATGGAAATGAAGTCAGTGTGCCTTAAAGACCTGCATCTTATCTCAAGGCCAGCAGATGGCGATAGTTATGGTTGCAAAAGACTAGGTCCTACAGAAGACTGTGGAAAAACGGCTTTCGCTATTGACCTGTAAACACTTTCCTGGTGGGTTTATGGGTTTAATCAGTCATTTTTTGTCATAGTGAATACAAAAAATTCTGTTTATTTTGTAAATATGGGTCAATTATTTTCAAAAAGGAGAATTATCCAGGGAATGCTCACTGGGTAGAGGCTCATTGTTTGAGTAACGATTGACAACACATTAGGCGGTACGCGAGCACTTTCACAATCAGACCTCCCCCTCCTCATTGTTTTTTTTTTTTTTTTTTTTTTTTAAACTGAGAACCGTCACCAAGATGTTAGCATTGCAGAGGAACATAGTCGGAAAATCACTAAATTGCACTCCATCCAGCACAGTGCTATATATTGCCAACCAAGTCTAATTGCACTGTGTGAGTGGTGGTAGCTTCTACACTTTGCCTACTTCTACCTCTCTCTACACAACTGCTTGCCTATCGACAAGATGTTAGGTCAATGTTACCTCTGCTTCACCAATGTGTTTTGTTTTTCTGTGCAACACAGCCAAATCTTTTATACTGTCTGTTGGTTTTTTGCCTTCTTTTGGAACCAGCCTTTTTTGGTCAACTGTATTAGACAACTGTAGCTTTTTGGCATTTCTTAATGAATTAATTTTCTTTTTCATTGCCACTTTATGTTTAAAAGTGTATTATAGCTCTAAATTACATCTGTTTCTTTTTGTGACAGAATAGAATCATCCAGACACTACACTACAGTGCACAGCCTTTGCATGTGCTCCTCAGGAAGACTTTAAAGGACTATAACAGTTCTGACCGCTCATTCATTGTTTCTGCAGATGTCTGTATTCATGAGCGTGACTGAGTATAAGCTCCACCTTTGCAGGAACATTTAGAACAACAAGGGTGCAATATTATATGGCAAAGGTAGCATTTATATATTAAAAAAAGAGATTATTACCATTATAAACCATTCTGTACAACTTTCTAGCTGTGAACTATAAAAACTTTGTAAATAGGCTAGATATATTACACGTGAGGGAAGAGATGGGATAATTCTCATAAGTCTTCACAGTCTGAAATAAAATGGATGGAGAGTGTTCTTTGATTCTTTTTTCTCAATATCACTTGCAGAGACATTTGGTTTCCCCTTCTCTGCAAATTAAACTATAATTTAGACAAATGCAATATTTGTGTGCCATGTTTAAACTACAACTCACTGAGGAAGTAGGATATCACAGTGTATGATACTCTGTTATTCAGTCTGGCAGAAGACCAATTTATCTAAGCATGACTAATTAATCACTTCCACATGAAAACTACTGAACATGAAAAATTAAAACAGCATCACAGCTACAAGTTAATTTAACTTTGGGGATTGTTTAACAGTGAATCATAGCAGCATTTGTCTGGAAATACCCAGCTTAAAACAAAAAACCCCAAACCCAACATTAAAACCCAGCTGGAAATAATTTGCCATGCTGATTACAGGTAGACTTGAGTTGTGCAGCCTCCACCTCATAGATTGGAAAATGACCAAAGGTGTTTATTTTCAACAGTGCTTCCAAGAATTACTTATTAAAAGGTTGGATTCCTAAGGTTATGTAATAGGTGGCAGAGGATTTCAGCCAAAAAAAAGCCACACAGTGAAGCGGGCAGTGTGCAGGTTTCAGGTGGCACTAACAAACTGACAGTCATAACCAACAGCTTTGCTTTGGTATGGAGAAAGGTGACAAAACATGCTGCGCTTATGTGGGGAATAAATTAAATAAGCTCCAAGTGATTTGAGTTTTTGGAGAGTAAAAAAATAACAATTATAGAAATGAAAATGATGTATTGTGGAAAGTCTGAATCAGTAGGCTGGATGGGCTTAATAAACAAAGCTGCAGACAGTGAGAAACAGGCCAAAATGATCGCAGGAGCATTCCACTGTCTATAAATTTCTTTGACTTCTTATTGCAGCACTTCGACCACTGGACAGTTTAACTATTTGCTTGGGGCAAAATTCGGTGTGGAGAAAGTCTGGCTCAGATGGGATTCTAGACTCAGAGTGGAGCCAAACCTCATCCATCATTAGCTTCATCTTGTCCACAACCCAGCACCCACCCTAGTCTAGTAACTCATCCGCCAAGGATGGATGGAAGACCAGCTCTCCAGCCAAGATGGTTTTCATTAGCTAAGCAAATGCTTAGCCCAAACCTAAAACACCACTCCCAGCTTTCTCTGCTCCTTATTTTAATAGAGCTTGTCATTCAAGTGTGCTTAAAGTGAGAACAGTGTCATTTCCTATAAAAAAAAAACTCCTAAAATTTACAGTATAGCTTTTTTTGTTTGTGATATCCCCTATAACTGTGCAACCATTCAAATGCAAATCCAGACTCAGCTCTGATCGTTAGTGGACAGGCAACTGAAACCAGAGCTGACGCTTCAGCCAAGTCTCAGTCTCTGACTCACAAACCTGCATTTCATCCTGTTTTGTCCCATTTTTTAATGAGGTATTTGGAGACTCTTTGCTTCCTTGCTGTTAATTAGATGAGAAGGTCAATACTGCTCTCATATGTGTAATTTAAATTTTAATCTACTACCAGCAAATTAGCTTAGTACAAAGGAAATGGGGAAAATGAGCCAGGCTGGATTGGTCTGGAGATATATCCTCCAGTCTACACTTGAGCTGGGGTGCATGCAGCTGAAGTCGTGGCTTGATTCACAACAAGCAGGTGGCAACAAAATGGTACAAAGTCACTGCTGGTCAAAAAAAACCCAAAACGTCTGTCACATGATCTTAATGAGTTCAAAGCATGTTGGTGAATATTGTTACTTTCACTGTGAGTGAGGCTAACTGTTAAGCCTGTGTCCAGTCTTTAACATTTTATGTTTATAGTTTTCATATTTGCAGTCTTTTAATTCATTATTTGTCCATTCATTTACCCCTTCTTAAAAAAGAAAATATGCATAATTTACAAACATTCAGTCACTGCTTCAGACTGATGATTAAATTAGAACTGGACTTTGTGTAAAAATTAAAGGCCTAAAATGATTCAAACACCAAGAAAGACAGAGCAAGAGAGCTCTGATCAGGGTGTAACACAGTCTTAAGTCCAAGAACAGTAAATAAAAAGAAAACAGCCTAAATGGTATTTGGAAAGAAGCCACTCAAATCCTGAAGTTAAAGCAGTTGGATATTGGATCCTTTTTCAAGAAGGAAATCCTCAGCTTGAGGGTTGTGATGAAGGCAGCTCTGCACTCTCTGCTCCAGATTTCATAAAGGTTTGATGATGTTTGAATAAGGTTACTGCGGAGGCCACATTCTTGTTCTTTGATTTGTGTAACAATCATTATGGGTGCATCAGGGTCTTGGAAAACAGGATCATAGTCAGGGAAAAGTGTTTTTTGCTGCACCTGGATTGGTATAACAGTCTCATTCTTTGGCTGTCGTATTACCACGCAGAGCCATAATCAGATTTAATGACACGAGATGGCTGCTCACGCCATTACAGATTTACAATATTAAACTGCTGGCGGCAGCTGATGCAGACTAAAGGCATCATTTGGTTTTACCCAAACATAAAGCTGCAGGAGGAAAGGAAAATGGGTGAAAGGCGAGTTAAGTCACCAGACCAAATTTTGGTCTGAATTGTGGAAACTTACAGAAAACAGGACAATGAACAGGCTCTCTGTTACAACCACCCAC